GTTTATTTGCCTCCCTTTAGGTGAAAGAAATATCCATCTATCTTGAATAGAAGTCGGAATGTTTGCCATTGAAGGAGGTCAGGTTCCCCTGGTTTCAGAAGTAAATGGCTACCAAAGTTTGGTAACTTCCATAGCCTGAGAATCCTTGATAACTGAAGTTTCCATGAAATGCACACAATAATGTGTTTTTAAATGGACATAAAAGGCGTTGAGCTAAAAAAAAAAAAGAAAGAAAGAAAATTAGGAAAACAATTGCCCGTCGGGTAAAATAATTCCGATTTCTTTGATTTCATAATTTTTACGAGCGCCTGATTTCAACACGATGCCTCGCAAATTGTGTCGAAGTTGAGTAGGGCACCTTTAGTACTAGAAGCAATTATTCACGAGCGTGTTTTCTCTAGTAAGGCGTGATAACGTGACCAATATAATGAGACCTAAGCAAACCAGCCGACCAGTAATACCCCGGTAAGCTGTGGCATGAGATAAGTTCGCATACAATGTATCTTTTCTTCAAATTATTCTCCCGTCCTGAAATCATATGCATGTTGGTCTGGGAAAACTGAGCACCCTGTCATTTACACGAACACTGTCATATAAAAAATCCTCCACTTCCCCAAATACCCCAGTTAAAATCTTTGAACCACCTTGATGTTTGACAGAGCTAAGAGTCAAGGTGAGAATTTTGCGAAGCACAAAGTTGAGAAAATCATTGTAGAGGACAACATTAATTTTCATTATTTTTTCCTGAGATATTTCAGAAGAAAAGAGATACACGTACCTGAATTTTAAAAGTTCAGAAAGTTTAGAAATACATGTAATATCTAAAAGAAAAATGTCGTGGTTTGAAAAAAAATAGAGGAGAAAAACCATATCACTTGCCCTTTGCCTCTAATCGTAGAACTATAAGTAGGTAAAACAACATGGCGTCCATAACCTTTCCTCCTTGTTTTCTTTGTATGTTACTGTCTCAGCTCTTATAATATAACCCATTTGTGTTGGAAGTGCCATAAAACTTTTACCGAATTAAAAGCTAAACATGCGTTAACTAATAAAATTACTGTCTTTGCTATTAAAAAAGCCCAAATCACCCCCCCCCCCCCCAAATAAACAAAGCAAAACAAAAAACAACAAGAACAACAAAACTGGATTCCTTTGACTCGGGAACCAAATCACCTCACCCCAGGTTCTGAACCCATTCCTTCCTCGCCAAACCGCCTCAAGGCCACCAGCATGCCACGTAACACCGTTTACTCCGGAGGCTTGTACGGAGGCCACAACGGCAGATCCCGCCTTACGGATTTTGTGAGGACCTTCAACAGCCGTTTTCCTGACAGTCTGACACGTCACTTTGGGTAAGGCTTAACGATGTCATCCTGGTCCAGTTCTCGGATAGAAATAGAACCAGCCGGTTTTGTTGAGGAACTAGATTTTTTTTTCAATATCCTTTTCATCAACCCTGATCCAACCAAATAACTACATCAGAATTACAAAGTTCTATCTTCCCAGTTCCTGTTTTTTGAGAAATTAAACGTCAAAGATTTTGAGTCTCAAACATGCCAAGCTTTTTCGAATGCAGTTCTTTGAATATCTTGATAACGACTCCGAATAATCTTACGATTTTGATAGAGCAGACTCAACATTAATCTTGGTTTCTGACCTCATGGTCTTTGTAACTCAACATGGCCAACATTGTCCAATAGAACATTGTAATTCTAGGGTAGTGAAGTGTCCCCGGCTTTCATAATGTAATTAGACACCGTGGTAATATGTGTAACGATGTGTTGGAACCTGGTTTTTGAGCATGTGGAGTTATTGATATTATCATAAAGACTATTCATTTTTCTTGCTTTTGATGAAAAAGATACCCATATATTTATCTTGAGCAGACGTCGAGATATTTGCCATTGAAGGAGGTAGAGGTTGCCTTGTGTCAGAGGTAAAATAAATGTGAAAATAACAACTAAGGTTTGGTAAGGCTTTAAAAATATACGTTTTTGTGTTTTTCATAATTTTTTTCCTGTACAATTCAATGCAGGGCATTGATACCAACACACACACACACACACACACACACACACACACACACACACACACACACACACACACACACACACACACACACACACACACACACACACACACACACACAAACACACACACACGCAAAATTCCATAGAAATGCCAACCAAAATGTTGATTTCTTCGAAATCATTATTTTGACAGGCGCCTGATTTCACCTCGATGCATCACATACGGCGAACATTTCTCCACGAGCCAAATTGATTAGATTAAGGCTCACAGCCCAATGAACCATTGGAAATATAGGCTGCCTGTTGTTAAAATGTAGGCCCACTTTGCCTAGATTTTTTTAATGCTAAGAAATACTGTTTCTTTAAATCTATGATATTGATTGCATGCGCCCAAGCAGTATGTTGTCGAAATCCAAACTCTAAGTGTCGCAAAAAAAGCAAGATAAAAAATACACAATATACGAGTAGGTTCAACTTTTTCAAAGAATGAAACAGTTTTTTCTTTCTTTCTGTCCTGAAAAATTTGCTTTTCGGTAAAGATGTGTCAGCCCCCCTCCCCCCCCCCCTGCTCCAGTTCGATACATGTAAAAGTATAATATTTTTATATTAAATTTTATGGCATTCCCCTATCCACTCAATATCAGTGCAGATAAGTGAACCATGGTACTGTTTTCCCGAAATCCTTCCTTGCATTCTGTTATAAGACAAAGGGGAATAACGCCATACTGTACGAGCTCGGCGTGCACGAAGTTCAGTCATTCTAGGCTACCGTGCCTGTTTTGTCTTTTAGATTGCTTAAAAAAGAATAAGATTTTTTTTTACACCAGCATCGACCCAATTTCGATAATTAAGGGCCAGTCAGGGCCGAGTCGGACTGAGGGGAATACAGCACGCCAGCGGAAAGGCAGATTCTCTAGGAACTGCTCTCCACTCCCCACTCAGAGACCGAACCCGAGTCTCCTGCGTGCAATGGCGAAAGCGCCGAACCACTACTCCACACACTCTTGGCTTTTGGGTCGCAAGATAATGAAAGGGTTAAAAGCACATGCCTATGTTTCCTCTTACACTGTTTAAAAAAAAGTTTTAGTAGAGGTTTTACGGCGCTCGCAACTGCATAAGGTCATATGAGCGCCAAGGGGTGGATTTCAACAGAGAAGTCCAAACGGGGAATCTGGCTCACTCTGCTCACCTCTGTAGCTTCAACAGCACAAAGTCAGCTTCGACTATCAAGGCACCCCAAAATAGCGGGTAACAAGAGAGTGACAATAAATATACAAAAGAAGTAGAGGAAAAATGACGATAGTGAGGATAAAGTAAGAAAATGCAGCAGTTCCCTGTTGCAATTCAGGCACAGTTATGAGCATGACATTGGTGAATCAGCCCATTTACAATTTTACTGTTCTGTTAATGTCCCCCCCCCCCCCTTGGGAATGGCCTAAAGACACTTCAGGCAGTAGTACCCCCCCGGGGGGGGGGGGGGTGTCTTATATTGTGAAACAAACACATATTTTTTCGTTATTGTTTTGTTGGGTTTTTTTCTTTCACAGCACCAACAGAGTTTACGTTTACGGGGGGGAGAGAGGTAACAATGACAGCGCAGAACGCGGTGCTTCCTCACCACCACCCAGTAAGTACACTCGACCCTGTCTAAGACGGCCATCCATTTGTCGAGGAGAAAAGTGATTGTCTTCGACAGGTGGACATCTTACACATTGTCATTACCCATTAAAAATAATTTTTAAAATGTATAAGAATGCACCCCCTTCCCCCGAAAAATTGACCCCCCCCCCCCAAGCAAGGGGAGGAATGGGACGTGGCTATAATTTGTACAGGTGACTATCTTAAATAGGTGGCCAAGAGATAAGGTTCATGTACTTGGGAATTTTCCTCTTTTATCTAGGCCCTTTTTGCTGTAGCTTTGTGTGTGTGTGTGTTTGTGTGTGTGTTTGTGTGTGTGTATGTGTGTACGTGTTTGTGTATGTATGTGTGTCTGGGTGTGTGTGTCTGTGTGTGTGTGTGTGTGTGTGTGTGTGTGTGTGTGTGTGTGTGTGTGTGTGTGTGTGTGTGTGTGTGTGTGAGTGAAAATTATAAAGACACTAAAGATAGTAGAAACACAAACAAAAATCTCTCAAACATTGTGCCTATTTGTCCCCGCAAGAGCCCGACCCCGTCAAAGTCCTGACAGTCCGTCATGTAGACCTGACGGTTCCGGCTAACACAAAAGCTCACAGAACTGACGAGTATGATATCTGTGGCTCACACCAGGAGAGACCGAAGCTCGTGGTCAGGAGGGGGCAACCTTTCAACATTCAAGTGAAATTCTCCAAGCCGTATGACAGTAAGACAGACTATCTTCGCATTGCCTTTGAGGCTGGTAAGTTTTCGTCTGCTGTGTGGTTGTGTCAATGTGACTGTTGGTCAGACGTATGTGTTGAAGTGGTTAGTTGTGTCGCTGTCGCACGCAGGAACCCAAGTTAAATTCTCGAGTGGGGAATTTATTATTTAAAATTTATTTATGTTAAAAAATCGAGAACATATTTCTTTTTCTGTCTGCTTGGGTGCCTCTTAGGCCTGGTTGGTCATGATAGACTGGGTCAAAGCCCGCTTCTTTACTGATCTAAATTGTGACGATAAGTTCGTAAAACACTTGTAACGTGTTATAAAAAGTGACTGCTGGGTAATTTTGTTCGTTGGTAAGTAAAATATTAATAATATTTCTATATCGGAATGGGTGATTGTTTATGTCGTGCATATTTGGAGAAGATTATGCTTATGAGCATGGAGGAGCGTGGTATGTGGAAATCAGAGAATTTTCTGTAACTGTAAACTCTCTAGTGGAAATTGTGTTGAAGTCAACAGTGTTTTGATCTTTGGCCTTAATTTCTAAGACGTGTGAATGTAGTGTGGAAGGGACCTGAAGGCATAATCTGTTGGAGAGTCATCTTCTGTTCAGTTTTACTGATATATTTTGTTTGTTTTATCTAATCTCTTATTCGTTTCTGTCACCGGATCAGTTGTCATTCCAGCTGGAAAATTTTCACAACATTACCATGGTCTCTCTTTTTTCTGAGTGCTGCACGTTATTTAGCTACGTCAGGCGTTAGAGTAGGCATGCATCTAGCAAGGGTACGTTGCTTTGCTTGTTTTCAGATGAGAAAAGACAGAGAAAGAACAATGAAAAAAATAATGTATTGATTCTGCAAGTGCATATTATTGTGTATGTATGTGCATATTAATGAGTTTTTGTATGTCAATGTTTACGAGTATGTTAATGTAATGTGTATGTGTATGTCTCTGTATATGTGTATGCGTATGTTAATGAGTATGGTTAGCACTATGTATATGTGTACGTGTATATGTATGTTAATGAGTATGTTTATAACTATGTTTATGAGTAAAGGTATGTGTATGTGTATGTGTATTGGTATGCTTATGCGTATGCGTATGCGTAAGCATGTACGTATGCGTATGTGTCTGTGTATGTGTTTGCGTTTGTGTTTGTGCATGTGTATGTGACGCTTCCGTCCAAAACTCTCTCAGGTGACAAGCCCTCACCGGCTAAAGGAACAGAAGTTGAGTTCCTTCTCTCTGACGAGGACAAGCCCAAGGAATGGGGCGCAAAGATCCTGAAACAACAGGTTAGTAGGGGCATCGTTACGGTGACTTTGTCAGTGAATTTAATGAATAGTTATTCATCTGGAGAAGAAACCAAGGTCAAGGATGCAAAGTATCTTTTTCGAGAAGCGCTGCTGTTCTTGTTTTTTAATACCGAGTTTATGTGATGATGATGATGATGATGATGATGATGATGATGATGATGATGATGATGATGATGATGATGATGATGATGATGATGATGATGATGATGATGATAACGATCACTTGTGTAGTGGCTATATGTGCTTCACAAAAAAAGAAAAAGAACAAAATAGACACCTCGACCTCTAACACGATGACACGTTTCAAGCACGCTGGTCCATTCACAGTATAAAAATCTTTCAAAATACATAATATATCTTGAGTCTTTGCCATCAACACTATTTCGATCACTTAGGATGTGGGCTTCAACCCTTCCTGTCAGGGTCAACTCGGGCCGAGAGGGATACAACATCCTAGCAGAAAGACGGAGACACATACCTAGTAATAAGTTATCCCACGCGGGAATCGAACTCACGTCTTTCACGTGCGAGGACGAGTTGTCTGATTGATGCGCCACAACACCAGATGTCAGTCATAATGAAGCCATCAATGTTCTCACTAAACCTGTCAGCATTGCACTTGTTGTATTGGCAAGGACTTATTTATTATTGTGTTCACTTCGACTTCACACTTCGCTACCTCAGAATTATAAAGTTCTATCTGACATTTTTGGCCGTTTTGAGTAACTAAGAACATGATGCTAGAAACCAAATGTTCTATCTGCTATATCAAAATCGTCAGATTAGTCGGAGCTGTTATGAAGATATCAAGGACAGCATTCGAAAAAGCTTGACGTTATGTGAAACTCAACATTTTTTACGTCAAATTTCTCAAAACTCGGTAAACTCATGCTTAGAACGTCGAACCTACTCTATAGGGCCACCTTTCCAATCACCAGTACAAACCGCGGCTTTCCACCCCCCCCCCAATCCCTGGGATGTTTTTTTTTTCTTCTTTATTAAAATGACACTGCCCAAAAGTCCACCGTCCTTAGACAATCACGTTTTTCTCTTCGACTCTGGGTGGCCGTCTTGGACTATTTCCATTGGTGACTAGGGTCTGCAAGGATAATAAATGGCTGTAAATGGTTGTAGATCATGGCAATGCTGTAGAGCGTGGGTATGCGCTTTCAAATGCATTATTTAAAATATTTTTAACTTTTTGCCAGAGCAATTCGCTGCTAGTGACTATTTTCACCCCACCCACCTGCTACGTGGGCAAGTGGGATCTGAAGCTGAATGTGTTCAAGAAAGAGAACAGCCACAGCAGTGTGGATGTCTATCGCTACGAGCACGAAGACCCTATCTACATTCTGTTCAACCCTTGGTGCAAAGGTGAGCTCTCGCTCTTTTTTTATCGGTAAGTGTTTTACGGCGCTCGCAACTGCATACGGTCCTATGAGCGCGCGGGACACATTAAACATTTTCAGTTGTTAGGAAATTTAGAATTTTGCTCGGGTGGCAGCCGAAGCCTAAAAGAGCAATGTGAAATTTATGGGTAGAGTTTGTACAACTAAAAACTTTTTAGTTCAAAATGGTCAAAGACGTGCTAGACTTGAAGAAAATGGCATCAGTGGAAATCTTCATAATCTGATAGTGAGAAGTAACCCATTTTATCAGCACGCATCACGATAATTTAGGAGGCGGGCTGCCAACCTTACCTGTCAAAATCTACCTGGGCTGAGAAGAATACAACATCCCCAACAGAAAGATCGAGATATTCATTAAAAATTTCTCCCTTCTCAGGAATCGAACTCGGGTCTCCTGCATGCCAAAGCAAAATACTTGACCGCTACACCACAGACGCCAGTAATAAGAAAATGAGCAAGTGATGCCCTTATAAACTGACGCGTGGGCTGGTATTTCTCTGCCTTAGAATTACAAACTTCTATCTGAAATTTTTGGCCGTTTAGATTTACTAAAACCGTGAGGCAAGAAAGGAAATTGTGTTCTATCTGCTATATCAAGTAACATTATTCGTAGTCGTTATCAAGGTACTCAAAGAATTGCATTCGAAAATGATTAACATGTTGTGACACTCAACATTTTTACGCCAAAATGCTCAAAACTAGGTACTGGGCAGATAGAACTTTGTGATTATAGGGTAACGATTTATTGACACTTTTTAAAACGGTTATAGTGGGTGGTTGTTGGGAGCTCGGGTTTGATTTGCTCCTTCTTTCAGATCAAACATCAGTCTATCGTCCTTATCTCTCCTCCTTCTTTTGTGTTAGTTAATCTCTTGTAACACCTGTAATCTTCGACACTTATATGATATGACCCTAATGCGCCGTAAATTTCTTACTTACATTACAGATAAATAAATAAATAAATAAATAAATCAAGCGGCTTTCCCTTCAGATGACACGGTGTATCTGGACGACGAGAAACTCTTGCAGGAATACGTTCTCAACGAGAGCGGCAGGATCTACTCCGGCAATAGTCGACAGATCACAAGCAAGCCATGGAACTTTGGACAGGTAGACTATTATACTCTCGGTATTAAAAATAAAAAGAACCAAAAAGAACCACCCCTCTCCATCCCACCCCCAACAAATAAACAACCCCCCCTCCCCCCGTTCCGAAAACAAAACAGAAAGAAAACAACAATTAATGTGACACGGCGCGGCGAAATCAGGCGCTTGTCAATTTTTGGGCATATAATATGGAGATATTAATATTATATTAAAGCTATCTTGAAAAAAAGTCTGTCAATGTGATTGAAGAAGGTGGGGCTCGCCTAGCTTCAGAGATAAAATTAGCGAGAAAAGGGCCACTAGATTTTCGGTAACTTTCATAGCTTGAGAATCCATTGAAACAAGAAAATGTGAGGCAGCGTGATGGAATCAGGCTCTCGTCAATTTTGGGGCATATAGAGTTATTGGTATCATCTTAAAGCTTTTTTACTTGTCTTTATTTGGATGAAAAAAATATCCATTTATCTTGAATACAAGTTGAGATATTTGCGAAGGAAGGAGGTGGGGGTCACCTGTTTTCAGAGGTAAAATTAGTGAGAAAATGGCTGCCAAAGATAAGTTATTTCCTTAGCTTAAGAGTCCGCGGTAACTGAAAATTTTCCTGTTTTGTGCCTTTAATCAACATCAACGTTTTTCAGAAAAATCTACACATAAATGAGTTCTTTAAATTACATGAAAGGTGTTGAGGCAATAAACAAAAATTTGATAAAAATTCACAAACCTGCGGAAAAATGCAAGTTTCTTCACCTTGATTATTTTGACGAGAGCATGATTCCACCACGCTGCCTCACAAATTTACATTTTTAGAGCCTTTAATCAACCCCCCCCCCCGCCCAGTAAAATCCACACCAAAATGTATTTTTAATTGGACATACAAAGTGTTGAGCCAATGAACAAAAATACGATTAAAAAAATTTCAAACCGACAGAAATATGCCGGTTTCTTCGTTTTCAATATTTTGACGAGAGCTTGATTTCACCACGACACCTCACAAATATTACTCTTTCAAATGTTGGCACCAGAATCAGGACACGGAACAAAAAAGAAACAACAACAACAACAAAAACAACAAAATAGCCAATACAAGTATTAATGTGAGTGGTTTTACGTTAACACCTACACAATTTAGATCGTTTAAGAGGTGGGCTTCCAATCCTGCCCGTCAGGGTCAACTCGGGTTGAGTAGGACCCACCACTCCTGGAGACAAACCGAGATACTTGGTAAAAATTTCTCCTCAGTATTTTGTTCGTGAAATGTGAAAGTTTTATTTGGGTTTGAGTGCTATAACGTCTTATATTTTGTCTTCTGCAGTCTGTTTGTCTCTTACTCATCTTCTGCGTATCTCTCTCTCTCTCGCTCTCTCTCTCTCTCTCTCCGTCTCCCTCTCCCTCTCCCTCTCTCTCTCTCTCTCTCTCTCTCTCTCTCCCAGCGTCTGTGATGTAGCAATTAAGCTCTTCCCTGTCGCATGTAAGAGACCCGAGTTCGGTTCCCGAGTAGGGAGACTTTCTATCTAGTATCTCGGTCCTTCTTTTGGACTCTTATAACCCTCTCCTCCTGGGTTTACCCTAACGGACCGGACCCGAAGCCCGCCTCTTAGACGATCTAAATTGTGTCAATGGGGGTGCACAGACACATACATTTTTAAAAAATGCGTTGTTTCGTTCTATTTCCGTCTTCATTCACTCGTCACGTAGCCTACGAGTCTTAAACTCAAATTACTCGGGACGGGAGTGGCTGCCAGAGGTACAGTCCGGCTGAGCCTGGGCAGTATCAAACATTTCACAGACACACACACACACACACACACACACACACACACACACACACACACACACACACACACACACACACACACACACACACACTCACACACACACAAATAGACACACATAATATACACACACGCAGATACCCCCCCCCCCCCCCCCCCAGCCCCACACGCACTTGCATTCACGTATTACATGAAAAAGCATAACATTAAAGTCATGCCTAGGTCTCAGACACAAATATTACTGGAAACTGGAAACTGTCACGAACCTGAGGTAAGGCAACGCAAAAGTAATATAAAATGTAAGAATCCAAGGCGACACCTCGACAAAAAGGGGCACGAGAGAAAAACGTGAAGGCTGCACTAACAATACATTTTTATTTCAAATCATCAATATCCGGTGCCTTGCCGACTGGCGTGGTCGATCATGAACTCCCGCTTCACTCTGTCTTGCGTTGCAGCAACGGTGTCTGTTGTTCTTGCGGTTCCCAGCCATGTTGTTAACCCTTTCCAGTATCTTTTCCCTCTGTCTACCTTTGCCTCTCTTTCCGTCAAACGTGCCTGTTGTTACAATAATATTTTTCTCCAATGCTTCTTTCCGCATTGTGAGTCAATGAACTTTGCCTTTCGCTTTCGTATAATCGTCATAAGCTGTCGTCTGCAAAATAATTATGGTCCTGCGGCCTTTATAATTGACCAACGGGTCGTACGTTCGAGACCCCTAACAAAGGCTATTCGTTTATTTGCTTTTCCCCTCTCTTATTTCAGTATAAAATTTTATTTTTTAAAAGCACTCTTTCATTTTTATTCATTCGCTTAACGCTTGGTCCACAGTTCGAAAGCTGTATGTTGGATGTGGCCATGTACTTATTGGAAATCTCAGGTATCCAGTGGCCTGTTCGGGGAGACCCGATCAAAGTTATCAGGAAAATCACGGCCATGGTAGGTGCTGGGGTGTTTTATTATTTATTTCCTGGTAATCTTTGACAAGGCATGAAATAAAAAACGGTAGGCAAGTATTTCTGTCGTGTTAAAAAAATAATACAGGTTTATTTTGACACACGATAATGTTGGTATTTTTTGGGTTGCTTTTTTTTGGTAAGTGTTTTACGGCGCTCGCAACTGCATAAAGTCATATGAGCGCGCAGGTCAGTTGGTATGAAATTTTGAATTTTGCCTGGGTGGCGGCCGAAGCCTACTCTAATCGATTTTAGACCACCAAGGGATCTTTAATGTTGGCAACTTGTACACGGGACCTCCGAGATTTTCGCTCTTGTCCGAGAAAGCTAGGTGTTAATCTTTCCTACCATAAGATCAGGGGTGTGGCTGAAAGACAGCAGTAAGAGGGAGCTAAGAGGGAGCTAAGGAGTAGCAGTAGAAAGGCTGTAGAAAGAGTCAGGAGCCCAGACAAGGGGGCAAAGGAGGTGAGGGGGTGGGGGCAGAAAGTGGAGACGAAAGCAGACGACAGAACATTTCTAGAGAGCAGGAAAGGAGGTGAAAGGAGACAATTTTCGAGAACAAATTTTTTCCCTCGCTACCCGGATTCGAACCCGAGGTCTTTGAATGTGAGGCGAACACCTTAATCTCTAGGTCACAAGAGCCCCACGCGGTAATGGCACGCAAGTTAACAATAGTATGCATGTTGTGGTTTTTTCTTCGGGTGTTTTTCTTTTCTTTTTCTTTTTGTGCTGGTATACTTTTTGGCACACACAATAACGGTGTGCTGATATATATATTCTGTGCTTTTCTCCCCTTTTCTCTTCTCCCCCTCCCCCCTCTTTTTTGGGCTGGTAAACTTTGATATACGAAGTAATGGGCAAAATTTAAAAAAAAAAAATTTTTTTTACTGTAAACTTTTACACAAACGCGCTGTGCTAGTATTTATGTGGAGCTTTTTTCCCCTTGTTTTTTCTTTCCATTTTTCTTTCGCAGATGAACTTTGACATATAAAATAACGGTGTATAGTATTTCTGTTGTTCTTAACCCCCCCCCCCCCCCCCCGCTTTCCCCCCTTTTTCAGATAAACGTTGGCATCGGCGATAACGATGAGCTAGTATTTCTGCCGCGCTTTTTTTAAATCCCTTTTTCTGATTTTTCTTTTTTTGTTTCTTTTTGTTTCTGTTTTTCTGTTGTTGTTTTTTTCTCACAGATAAACTTCGACCAAGGCGACAACGGCGTGCTGGTGGGCAGCTGGTCCGGGAACTATGAAGGAGGTCGTTCACCTCTCAGCTGGACCGGCTCTGTGGCCATCCTGGAGTCGTACTGGGACAGCAAACGGCCGGTTCGCTACGGACAGTGTTGGGTCTTCTCCGGTCTCTGTACCACAAGTAAGTCCCTTGGTATGAGGAAAACACATTTAAGGACGTGTCGGACACATAGTAATAATAATAATAATAATAATAATAATAATAATAATAATAATAATAATAATAATAATAATAATAATAATAATGATAAAAACAATAATAATAATATGATAATAATGGGAGAACATCAGAGCCGAGCACTTTCGAGGAAAAAACTATCAAAGCCTCGCACTATCAGAGCTGCGCACTTTTTGAGGATATCGATACAATAAGATTGCCAACGGTTATAGTCCCCTTAACAAAAATGATTGCAATTTTGAGGATCCGGGTTTTATTTATTTATTTTTTAAATTTTTGCTCAAAGAGAGAAGTGATTTATCTTGTAATAAGAGGATATTTGGTTGCGCTCTGGAAATTCCAATTGTATACGTCAAAATGTTTATAAATTACACTTTTGCTTTGGTTTCCTTCAGTCGCCCGAGCTCTGGGAATCCCCACAAGAAGCGTGACCAACTTTTCCTCCGCTCACGACATGGACGGCTCCATCACTATTGACATGATAGTGGACAAGCACGGCGAAGTGGACGAGGAAAGGTCCGACAGTATGTGGTAAGGTGTTGTTTAATCTAAATGCACGGCAGGTGTCTTCTCAAAAGAAAAAGATCATTGAGATTCTAACCGCCCACAGAAATAAATCAAATTGACGTGAGAAACTGATACTGTATTAAAATATACCTACTACCCCCCCCCCCCGAAAAAAACCCATCTTTACTCGCTGGAAAGCTTATAACTCTCCGCCAAACGGCACAATTTACACAAAAATTAATAGGAAGCAAGCTGAACCATCCGGAAAGAGAAACTTGTAACAAAAACAATAATATCTTGGAAGCACTTCGAAGACACAGTTCACTGTTGAACAACGTATTTTTATGGTTGAAACATATAATATGTCGAAACAAAGTCCCCTAGATGCAAACAGGGAATCTCTTCTGTAAATTGTTTAGAATTAACACCAAAGATCGTAAGAAAACACCAAGTGAAATAACGATGCTTAGAGGGTGGCTGACTTCAAGTCACATGGCTCTGTTGAAAATAAAAACAAGAGATGAAAAATCTAAGGTAACCCACAGTGGGAGACCCATGCAAGTGCGCACTGCTGAGAATGTGGCAGTGTGATGAAGTCTGGGAGAAAAGAACCTAAAAAGTCTGTTCATCGTCATAGTATTGAATTAACTATTGGCTAGAGAATCTGTTCGGTGCATGTTGAATAACAATCTGAAGGTTAAACCATACAAGATCGCGGTACATCAAAGGCCCTGCGAATGGAAAATGTAGACAATTTCGTCCAGTGCTCAGAGCGTGTATCGCCCGAAACAGATGTCACATTGAGCATGATATGTACTCTAACTTCCTTCAAACCTGGAATTTTTATTTTATTTGTCGCAATAAATCCGAATGGTTACCAAATACATATAAGAATTTTGTGTGTTTTTATCTCTATTTTAACCGTTTTTATGGCGTCTCCGTGTGTAAAGGCTTTTTTGGGGTCATCTAGTAAAGGAAAAGAAGAGCAGAGGAAGACAAAGAACAACATACACAGATGGCCTGAACAACTTTGAAACGAGTCACTTAAAGAGAAAAACCAAGCTGGTCAAGAAGACAGACTACAGGAAGGAATGGGGTACCATGATCGTCAGTTTCTACTACAGACCTGGCATCTGAAGAAGAAAAAAGTGTTTTCTACTCTGCCACCAACACAATTTAGATCATCTAGGAGGTGGGCGTGTTAAGAGAAAAGACGTAACAGAAAAAAGGAAATATACTTGGCCTTTCTGAAAACGTTTTAAAGCATTTGTGAGGCAGCGTGGTGGAATCAGGCTCTCGTCAAAATAATCAAAGTGAAAAAACGCGCATTTTTCCTCTGGTTTGTGAATTTTTATCAAATTTATGTTTTTTTGGCCGAACACCTTTCATGCCCATTAAGGAACTCTTTTCTGTGTGGATTTTTCTGTAAAACGTTGATTATAGGCACAAAAAAATGTAAGTTTTCAGTAGACCTGGACTTTTAAGCTAAGGAAATAACTGTTCTTTGCCAACCATTTTCTAACTAATTTTACCTCTGAAAACAGGTGACCCCCACCTCCTTCATTCGCAAATATCTCGACTTGTATTCAAGATAAATGGATATTTTCTTCATCCAAATAAAGACAAGTGAACCAGCTTTAAGATGATAACAATAACTCTACATGCCCAAAAATTGACGAGAGCCTGATTCCACCACGCTGCCTCACATTTGCAGAACATTTTTTTAGAACGGAGCAACCAAAGTGTAACTATGTGGGGATGGGTTGTAGCTTCCAGACATGGAGACGATGTTAATGAGTATTTTGCTTTGCGTCAATATAGTTATTGTGTTACAGAAAAGATTAAGAATGAGTAAAATTCATAGTCGGCTCCCTCAAGCCATGACATAAAAGCTTAAGGTTAATAGATGTAATGTACACCTTGCGTAACAAAAACGGGTCCATCTCTTTTCTCGTAAAGTTCAGACTTGAGGGCTTACTTTGGCGTACCAACACAAATCAAAATTTACTTTCAGGAATTTTCATGTGTGGAATGAGTCCTGGATGGCCAGACCGGATCTACCGGCAGGTTTTGGAGGCTGGCAGGTAGTTGACAGTACACCGCAGGAGTTATCCGATGGTGAGCAAACAGTAGGGGGAACTGTGAGACACAAAGTGGTAATTTACCTTTACATTGATCTGTTCAAACTTGTAGGTGTTTTTACGCCCCCCCCCCCTTTTGACACAATTTAAATAATTTATGTGGCGGGCTTCTAACCCTGCCTGTCAGGACCAACCCGGGCTAAGAGTGATACAACCTCCCTGCAGAAAGACCGAGATACTCGATACAATTTTTCTCTTAACTCGAGAATCGAATTCGGGTCTCCAACGTAAAACAGCGAAGCACCAAACTGCTACACCATAGAAGTTGGTTGAAATCAGTTGAAGAACTCAACACTTATAGTAATGACCACTCAGTTCAGTCCAGCATGCATAGCGAAATCGGTTGGACGCGGCCAATGTGAGCGTCTGTTTTGGGGGTTGTTGTTGTTGTTTTTTTTTTTTTGGGGGGGGGGGGGACGCAGAAATGGCTGATCTTTACCCGGAAATGTCTCCTGATGTGGGGGGAGGGGTGGGACTGGACCAGGTTGGGAGGGGAATCTCTCACGGTTTTCTCAGCTAAAGCCTCGGTTCTTTGTACCTTACGCGTCTCTCTTCAAATTAAACAACTCCAGATAAGTCTAAGGAGTACCAGTCAGGGTGTTCTTAGTCAGCTTCTTGTTACCGTTTTTTTCTGTCCAGCCTAGAGAAAGATTCCCTGAAATCAGCACACTATAGAGTATTCTACTTGGAAGGCGACAGTTGTCCAAGATTAAACAGCATCATTGACACTATTAGTATTAGCTGTGGTCGATGAACGAATTCACATGTGAAAGTCAAGCAACTTCGAACCCCACTATTTGAATACGAGGCATCGTATTGAAATCAGGCGCTAGTGGAATTTTTGAAGAAAACGGCATTTTCCCGCCGGTTTGCCAACTTTTTTTCGATTAAAAAAAGTATATTTTATAACAAATTTCTGTCTGAATTTTTTAAATTTAAAAACCTGGATTAAAGGCACCAAAACAAAACAAAAAGTAAATTTTCATTTCCCAACGTCTCTCAATCTAGGAAAGTTATCAAGTTTTGGTGGCCACTTTCTCGATAGATTTACCTCCGAAATCAGGTGACCCCCACCTTCTTCAGTCGGAAATATCTCCACTTTTATTCAAGATAGATGGGTATTTTTTCATAGAATGCAAGACACATGAATTAGCTTGAAGATGGTACAAGTAACTCAAAATGCCCCCTCCCCCCAAAGAAAAACAACAAAAACAACAAACAAACAACAAAACAAAAACTCAACAAAACAAACAACAGCAACTGACGATCGCTTAATTCCATCGTATTCTGACACAACAATTTGGACAATGCTTATCGACCATGCTTACCACTTTTCTGTCGTCAGGAACATACTGCTGTGGGCCAGTTTCCGTGGCTGCCATCAGGCAAGGGGAGGTAAACATGCCGTATGACGGCCCGTTCGTGTTTGCAGAAGTGAACGCCGATCGTTTCAAATGGTTCCCTGATGCAACTGGGATAATGAAGATAGTAAAAAAAGAAACGAACGTGTACGTTATCTGGTTGTTGTCGCTGTTGTTGCTGTTGCTGTTGCTGTTTTTGGTTGTTGTTGTTGTTGTAGTTGTTGTTGTTGCTGTTATTTTGGTTATTGTTATTGTTGTTATTGTGTGTGTGTGTGTGTGTGTGTGTGTGTGTGTGTGTGTGTGTGTGTGTGTGTGTGTGACGCAATTATGACACTAAAGATGGTCCCACAAGAAACGAACGTGTACCGTATCTCGTGTTGTCGTTGTCGTTATCGTTGTTGTAGTTGTTGTTATTGTTATTGTTGTTGTTGGTGATGTGTTTTTGTGTGTGGTGTGCGCACATGCGTGTGTGTGTGTGAGTGTGTGTGTGTGTGTGTGTATGTGTGTGTGTGTGTGTGTGTGTATGTGCATGCGTGTGTGTGTGTGTGTAGTGGCTGTGTGTGTGTGTGTGTGTGTGTGTGTATGAGAGTATGTGTGCGCCCGCGCGCGCGCGCGCGTGTGTATAGCCGACTGGTTAAGGGGGTAACAGAATCAGTGTAATTTCTGTATTGCACACATCTGCGACTCGGAGCTACAGACTTCAACATAGAATCTAACTGGTCCCTTTAACTCGCAAATTTGTCTAAAATTCCCCGAGAATTTGCATGCTGCACGTTGCGGTTTTGCCCGTTTAGGAACCTTTGCCCGTTTAGGAACCTTTGCCCGTTTAGGAACGCATTGGTAACCCATTAACACTTTCAGAGCAAAACATTTTGAAACATTCCTTGCTGTCTTTTTAAAGGATAAAAAAAAAATCAGGGCTGTCTGTCAAGGTGGTCCTTAACTTATGTTAAAGTCTGTAGAAATGGATTCTTGCCATGGCTGCCCTGCCCAAAACGATATAATTGTTTATCAATATAAGTGATCACTCTCAGTTGTTGGATGTCTATCATTTCTTCTGGTGACAGGGTTGGAAAATGTATTAGTACAAAGATGCCCAACTCGGATGAGAGAGAGGATATTACACACCAGTACAAGCCGAAAGAAGGTGAGTAGATGTTAAAAGCTTGTTTTAATGCATGTGAGCACATATTATCTCTCTCTCTCTCTCTCTCTCTCTCTCTCTCTCTCTCTCTCTCTCTCTCCCGCCCTCTTCCCCCACCCGCTTTCTTTCTCTGCCGCTCTCTCTCTCTCTCTCTCTCCCTCTCGTTTTTTCTTTCTCCTCCTCTCTCTCTATCCCCCCCCCCCTCTCTCTCTCTCTCTCTCTCTCTCTCTCTCTCTCATTTTCCACTTTCTCCCTGTCTCTGCCCCCTCTTTCTGTTTCTCTCTCTCTCCCTCTCTCTCGCTCTCTGTCTCTCGCTCTTTTAATCTCTTTATCTTTCTCTTTCTCACCTGCCCCTCTCCTCTCTTTGTTCTTTTTGCAGTTCCCCCCAACAATAATGTCATAATGATAAACTGGTATGAGTTTTGTAACAACATATTTTTGCAATCACGCACCACTCTATCCCGAAATCTTCTTACCCTTGTGACCTCAACTATATCTATTTATTCTGTTCCCATCATGTTTTAGAATATCGCTATTCAACTTACATCTATAAAGTTAAAATCTTGATTTACATGTTTGCACCTGTAAAATGTCTAAGATTTCACAAGAATTCCCTTTGGCACACGCAGTATTCGGCTTTTTTTCCATCTTTATATTTTTACTTTAACAACAAGAACTAGACGCAATTTTCTGTTTTCAGCGTGATTTATTTCTTTGTGCCCCGGTGGATGTTTAACTTTCAAGCGAGCTCGTGTTCTCTCTCTCTCTCTCTCTCTCTCTCTCTCTCTCTCTCTCTCTCTCTCTCTCTCTCTCTCTGTCTCTCTCTCTCTCTCTCTTTCTCTGTCTCTCTGTCTCTGTCTCTCTCTCTCTCTCTCTCTCTCTCTCTCTCTCTCTCTCTCTTTCTATATCTATCTATCTATCCATCTCTCTCCCCTCTGTCTCTTTCACCCCCCTTCTCTCCCCCTCTCTTCCTACCCCTCTCGATTTCTCTCTCAGTCTTTCTCTTTCTCTCTCTATCTGTCTGTCTATCCATATCACTCCCTCCCTCCCTCTCTCTTTCTCTCTCTCTCTCTCTCTCTCTCTCTTTCTCCCTCTCTTTCTCTCTTTTTTTCTCCATCTCTCCCTTCTTTCCTCTTGTCTCTCTCTCCTCTCTCTCCCCCCTCTCCATTTCTCTCTTCTCTCTCCTCTCTTCCCCTTCTCTGTTTCTATCCCCCTCTCTCTCGTTCTATACCCCCTTCTCTCTCTCTCTTTCTCTCTACTTTCCCTCCAACGATCTCCAGGGTCTGCTGAAGAGAGGGCAGTTGTTCTGAAGGCCAACCAGCTGGCGTCCACGAAAGAGAACGTCTACAAAACCACTGCACAGGTAGGAGACGTTGCGCCAACGAGCGCACAATAAATACTGTTTAAAGACATAGTGGACACAATAATAATTGTATATCATTATTATTATTATGCCCGATCAGCGGAAGACCAAAGGTAATGTGGTGGCACATCTCGTACCATAATACACAAATTCAGAAGCAGGGATAATACTATTTTATAGCATACATAATATTGTGTTGTTGTTTTAAAGAAAAGCCTGATCGAAGAAGAATAATAATGTTTGAATATCTGTTTGAGTTGATCGTCTTTTGCAATCGAGTGACCCAAAACAATGGCGTCTTCTTAGCGTTGCCAAATAATGGGAAAGCGCGACCTCAATAACGTAATATACTAGGTGATCCAAAAAAAACTTTACAACTTTTTTGTAAATATCTTCCTCCATACTGAAGTTTTGCGTTTCAGATTTGAACAAAACGTTTGGAAGCCAAAAGGAATTTTTCTGATATGTATTTTAGATAAGTACATAGAACGGTTTTGCTCTATATAGTGCATTAAAAAACAACCCATTTTCAACCTTTTCGCCATTTTCATAGCATGACGCACAAATTCGCTTTAGGCCTACCACTAAAAGTTGCAACAATCGCGCCATATTGCAAGCTACAGCAGTCTAACAAGTCAACAGAAGTCTGCAGATATCACTTTTCACAAATTTCGTTTGCCTGCTGAGATCATGACTACGTTTAGTAAAGAGCAAAGAGCTTTTTGTATTGAACATTACCTCTCCACCAACTCACCATCCCAGACATTTCGTAAGTTCTGCGCACGGCATGGAGAGAATGCTTAGGTGCCTTCGAGACCTTTGGCATAATGAGTAGAGAAGTTCCGTCAGTTTGGGCCTATAGCGAATCAGAACTAAAAAGTTCTTTAAAAACATGACCACTTCAGGTCGAACACGCACCATGCGCAGCCCTTTAAACGTCACCAGAGTGCAGATTTCAGTAGCCGAATCCCATGAGACGTCTGTCCATAGACGATCTGCAGTTAGGACTTTCCTACACATCAACAGTCTGCATTCTCATGGCAGATCTTAACCTACGAATATACCATGTTCATCTTCGCTACGCCGAGATGACGTGGAATCAGAACATGGCAATGTGTTCATGATTCCTTGATTGTCTTGTAAAGAGGGATCATTTCCTCGATAACATTTAGTTTAGTGCAAAGCCCATTTTCACCCTGCGGGATATGTCAACTCCAAAAATGCTGTCTATTGGGCACCCCACTCTATTGTCTCTAGAAGCCACTTCTTAGTGAATGTGTACAGTGTATGTGGCTTCAAAAACTCATGGTTTAGCAGGTCCTTGTGTTAGGGCGCCACTGAACATTTCGAACGACGCGTTAAAAATGAGTCGAGTCCAAAGGAGAGAATGAGGAGCACTGCTTCTAGGAATTTCAGAATGAAATCATTGTTTTAAAACTCTGTAAAAGAAATTAAATATTGTTTAATTGTCAAAGGACGGAAAATTAATGTCAAAGAGAAAATAAGGAAAATGGTCAACTAATGTTTTCACGACTTCCTTAACAAGATTTTTAAACATTGGTGAACTTTGCGTTTTTTGGGGTGCTTTTTTCTCTTAGCCGTTTCCGTTTTCAAAACATGTTTCTTCTTTGTGGATTTTATATCAAACACATTCCTTTTGAATGAATTATATCTGTTCCAAATTACAGCATTTTAGAACATTTTTTGCGCGAGATATTCAGAAAAAAAGTTGTAAACGTTTTTTTTGGATCACCCTGTATATAGAGAACAAGTTATTTTTTCCTTTTCTTTCTTTCTTTCTTTCTTTCTTCCTTTCTTTCTTTCTTCCTTTCTTAGCTTCTATGTGTTCTCTATTCACTGCAGGATGTGTCCCTCCAACAACGACCTCCGCTCTGTTCTATCAGCTGGTCTCCGTGTCAGGTTGTACTTGTTCGCTCTCTGATGTTATCTTGTTACTGTACTTTCTTTCTGTTCTTCCTCTTGATCGTTTTTCTGTTCTTGGTGTCCATTCAGGGTGCATCATTTTGTCCTCCTGTTGTCTTTCACGATACCGATGGGGCCCCCTATTTCCTTTTTTTGTCGGAACATAAATTTAGGAACATCTGCTAATCCGGATTTTTTTGTTTTTTGTTTGTTTTTGGTTTGTTTATTAAAAGAATACGACAAAAGGAGTAGCCCAAAAACAGGTGCAACCATATTTTCCAAATTCTATCACCTGACACTGTTATTTCTATTGAACCTAGTCTCAATTGAACTGTACCCTTTTCAATAAAATTACCAATCACTTACATTATTCATTCCAAGGATGGGCGCTCCGTTTGCTCATCTGATATTAAATATTAAGCTGGGCTATGGACCAAATGGTCCTAGTTCAAATCCCAGAATGGATGTTCCTGAACTTGTCGTTTTGTGGAGTGTTCAAGGCTGTCAACCCTTTTGGCTCGGTCCTATCGGAGACGGGCGTTAAATTCGGAGTTTCGCCTCTTAGATAACCCAACTGCGTTGATAGGTGCGTTAAACTCATACACGCTACACTTTACTCCCAGGATGTGGATTTCGAAGTGGTACAAGAAGCGGCCAATACGTGGGTCGGTGAAGACTTCAAAGTGTCGCTCAATCTCACCAACAAAAGTGACGCAGAGCGCACAGTGAGCGGCCGGCTTGTCGTCAAAACAATGTTCTACACAGGAGTGCTCGCTGACAAAATTGTCTCTGTCCCCTTCGAGAACAAGATTCTGAAGAAAGGAAACTGTGAGTAACTGTCTACATTGCCTTTTAAGTCACATTTGCTTCAGTTTGGTATCGTTAGTTTGTTTCTTTTTTCACCATATTTTATATTATATCATCTAAACGCATTTATGTTCCCCCTTGTAATCTCTCATGCAGCAGGTAGACTTTAAAAAAAGTAGCTCCTTACGTTCACTTTCAGTCACCCCAATATCAAGAAGCAATAGAATTTGTTTTTTCAACTCCAAATCTGCAATGAGAACTGTGCCGTCAGCATTTCTGATATCGATTACGTAACATAGACGTCGTAGGGAAACTAGGGTAAATATTGTTTGGGTCAATTTTTGATCTGTCTTCAAGATAGTTTTAAGAAATAGGGGGCTCTCGTGGCCTAGAGGTTAAGGTGTTGGCCTCTCATTCAAAGGTCCCGGGTTCGATTCCGGGTAGCGACCAAAAAATTTTCTTCTCTAAAATTGTCTCCTTTCACATCCTTTCCTGATCTCTAACAATGTTCTGTTGTCTGCTTTCATTTCCACTTTCTGCCCCCACCCCCTCACCTCCTTTGCCCCCTCCTCTGGGCTCCTGACTCTTTCTGCAGCCTTTCTACTGCTACTCCTTGGCTCCTCCTAACTGCTGTCTTTCTACTACACCCCTGATCTTCTGGTAGGAAAGATCTACACCTAGCCTTCTCGGACAAGGGCGAAACATCTCGGAGGGCCCGTGTGCAAGTTGCGCACGTTAAAGATCCCTTGGTGGTCTAAAATCGACAAGAGTAGGCTTCGGCCGCCACCCGGGCAAAATTCCAAATTTCCTACGAACTGAAAATATTAGGTGTGTCCCGCGCGCTCATATGACCTATGCAGTTGCGAGCGCCGTAAAACCCTATACTAAACAAACAAACAGTTTTAAGAAAGTTTAGTTCGTACTTGCGTTATTTGTTTGATTACTTCTCTTTTAGCTGCAGCTTACAGATGATTTGTAAATGCTCACTATCACAATCTGTCCCTGGCAATGAACTTTCGTCACTTTAAGATACCACGTCAGAAACGTATAAAATCTATTTGAATTTTAGGTCTTTCTCAAAGACTCTATCACTTCTATCACCTTCTTAGGTAACCCTTATACAAAGTAATTGAAATCGTGAAATCTTTATTCCTGCACCTTTGCTAGAGAGGAGCACTGCATAATTATATTTTAGTTACTCATTCCCCATACCCACTATATATTCTACTCCAGTGTCTCTTAACTTTAAACGGAAGTTCTACATGACTATCTTTACATTCTAAAACTTCCGTTGTTTCATATCTCTATTCAGATGGAAATAGAGTGCTTCTTCCTCTCGTTGTCATTCTTTAATTTTCATGCATATTCTTGGAGTATCTTCATGTTGAAAGATTTCTTACGTATTTATTACAGCTACAATGATTTTTCTGAAACTCTCCAAAATCGTTGATGCGGTTTTCTGCTTTTTAAATCAATTAATTAGATGATGATGATGATGATGATGATGATGATGATGGTGATGATGATGATGATGATGATGATGATGATGATGATGAGGATGATGATGATGATGATGATGATGATAATGACAACGACGACGACAACAACGACTACGAAGACGACGACGACAACGAAGACAATGATAATGATAACAAAATCGCATTTTATCCTGTAGCGACTGTACCAGTCATTGTTAAAGCCCAAGATTACTTGGAGAAGCTCAAAGACTGCTGTATGCTGGACGTGTCTGTGTGGGCTTTGGTGCGAGAGACCAACCAATGTTTCATCACCAAAGATGACTGCAGACTGAAGAAACCACATCTCATTGTCAACGTGAGTGGGAGTAAATAAAATTATTTCCTTTCACTTGTTAGTAAGACCTCTTCATTTCTCTTGTTTTAGCTTGAGTAAGCGTTTGACGGCACCTACAACACAATAAGGGTATATTAGTGCCAAAGATTTGATGATGATGATGATGATGATGATGATGATGATGATGATGATGATGATGATGATGATGATGATGATGAGGATGACGAATCTTTCATACGTTCTCCTACTTTCATTTCCTCAGGCACAAGAAGAAGCTGTCAAGGGAAGAGAATTCAAAGTGGAAGTTTCCTTTAAAAACCCGATGGACACAACTCTGACTGACTGTAAAGTTACCGTGGATGGGATAGGAAAAGCTCTGCATTTCCCGCAAGGGTGAGTAGAAGGCTATGAAGTGTGACTCCCTTCTACGCTTAGGAAATGTTATTGAAGGCTCTGTCCCTGGACTGGAAAGTGCGCTTTAAGAGACATAGTTCATGACGGTAAAAACGTTTTAATAAGAGTTTTAAGGAATCGAAGTTAAGTTTTAGTTTTAGTCAGATTATAACGGTGTTTCCAACAAAATAAGGTCTCATAAGTGCCGAAGATTAGGTGTTACAAGAGAGTAACAAACACAAAAAGGAGGAGGAGAGAGATGGACGATAGTTTTTGATAGGCAAAAAGAAGCATACCACACTAGAGCATCCGCCAACCACCGACAATCGGAGTTTTCAACACAAATAGGTCAGGATATAAGTGCCAAGATTAGAGGTGTCATGTTAGAGAGTGACAGAAAAGAAGGAGCAGAGGTAAAGACGATAGATGTTTAAGAGGAAGGAAGGCACAAACCTTACTTGATCGCTCGCCAACAACAAATTATTCATGGCTAAAATCACAGGCCTTAATATAACGACGCATGTCAGGGAAATTGCAAAATGTAGCATTTGAATAAAAGATTGGATGGTTTCTAACCAGAGCTATGGCCTTTGCAAATCAACCAAAACGCAGTGGTACATCATGCTTAAGTCATATTTTTTTTCTCGAAGAGAACTTAATGTGACTTAGACCTTTTATTTTTCAGACTCCTTCAATCATATTATTTTTTCGGTTATGGTGGGGTTATCAACATCCAGGTCTTATTAAACTTTCGTCAACTATAAAACAGACAGTAACACATGGTCATTAAAAACCCTGCAAAATTCCAGTTTGATCCTAATAAAGAATAAATCCCAAGACCACCGTGTTATGAGGTTTGATTTGTAACCACCACAAGAATATAATATGCTGAGACCCATGGAATTAAGAAAAGGACTAGGGAAATCCAAAGCCAAAGTGATTCAAAACACATACTTTTTATATTCGTGCAACTGAAAAAAGTTCGGTCGTTTTTCCAGATGTTGTAGATGAACTAACGGTATTTTAAAATGTTCCACATCACAGGAACGTGGCAGCTAAAAGTGCGTTCGTCGCCAAACTTCCCATCACACCAGCTAAGGTGGGCCAGAAGGAGATGATTTTCTGCTTCAGCTCGAAACAGCTGGAGGACATCAACGCTTCCAAGCGGATCTTTGTGCGCTCCAGAGATGTCTAAGTCACGTCACAGAGATGTCTCATTCACGTCGCCAAGATGTCTAAGTTACGTCATGGAGATATTTAGGTCACGTCACGAAGTTAGTCACGTCGCAGAGATGTCTAAGTCACGTCAGACTGAGCCATGTTACGTGTCACTGAGACTCGAAGCGAGTTGGAGACAAACTCTGCTAAAAAAAACCTTCGCCAAGAAAGAAGTTAAATACTTAATTACAGACTAAATATTCAATACTTCCCAAACTTATTCCTATTGTTCTTTTTATAGTAATATTATCACGTGATAAATATTTTTACAGTATTAATTATACAATGGTATTGCTAGAAGCAAACTCCAGTCAATGTTGACTACTCATATCGGGTTAATCTTCCTTTTATTTTTACCCTTTTTGTCCTTGAACTATCTGATTTTTGTCCTAAAGACCTGAAACTGCTTCTGAATCTACTTGAGATGGGAAATTTGAGCTAGACAGCCCTGCCCTATTGAGGTGAAATGCTATTCTAACAAAGGACGATTATTACGATTAAAAAAAACAAAACAAGTTTTCCATAATGACATAGATACCGTTTTGTTATGTTGTCCATGTTTCAAATGACGTTGCCTTTCCCATAAATCTATTGGGTTTTGGTCATACATTCCGTCTCTGCAGAAATGTTTCTGTTTTTGGAATAACCTGAATATGGCCCTAAAGACTATTTTCACTACATGTATCTATATAAACTGCATGCAAAGAGCGGTGCAAATTTTTTGACGTTGTCAAAATGCCAGCAACGCAACCAAACGTTTATAAGTAAAGTAAGTGTATGTGTTAAACGCCCTTATCAGCATTATTAGGTTATTTAATTGAGAGGTGGGACCTCCGAGTAAAACGTACGTCTCCGATAGGACCAACACAAGTACAATATACTGCTCGCACGATGAATCTGACTAAAGAATGGATACATGGCAGGGGGAGTTTTGCTAATGCTCTTCATTGTCCTAACCGTTGTTCCTTTTGACTCTCATCTTTTCTTGTCCCTAAAGCGATCTTACATGAAAATATTCAGAGCTGATGTTAATCGCATCGCAAACGCACAAGATTGGCTTCATTCTCTTGAAGGAGTTTTATTTTTCTTTAAAGCGGGGATATATTCTGTGATGAACCGAGGGGTAAACTGCTTTGATGAACACGTGAACTACCTTTAAATGTGTCTAGATGAGGATAAGACATGTTTTGTAAGTTTTAATCAGATTCAAATAAAGTACTCGTAATTAGCAATTTACTCACAGGCCATTTTCGTCTTGATCATCGGTAGCCCTAGGGTTTCAACATAGCAAACAGTCTCAGCCAAATACTGTACGGACGGATAAAGGAAAGAGGTTTGGTAGTTTAATTTTTTAAATATATAATTTTTTTGTTGGGGGGGGGGGGTGATGAGAGATGTAGGGACATTCTCCTTGATGACGGTTGGAGGAGGGAGAGACCTTTTGATGGGGTGTACTTCCTTCTCTTTCATGAGCTCTTGATCACCTTGATTAGGCTCGTCTTTGTTTTGGGGAGCCACAACTTTAGCCACCTGGTTCAACTCAAGTTTAATTCTGCTTCTAGGGTAACTTTGTATAACAATCAACGGTTACTGTGATTTTTCACCAGGGAGGCTCCAGTGGCCGAGTGCCTATAGTGAGCTCAGGCTCAAAATTACATGTTGCAATAAGGTCAAGCTTGTATCAGCAGAACAGGTTTTAGGTGGGTGGTCACTGGGGCGTGTTCTTGAGCAAAACGCGGTAACACTAGTTAAATTAACAAATTAAAAGTCAACAGAAACAAACAAACAAACACACACACAAACACACATACACACACACACACACACACACACACACACACACACACACACAAACCCATGGCGTTGCACAGTGGCAATCTGCCTATGTTTGTTTTACGTATTTTTGCAAAATGTGATGTGATATAGGCCTAGGTTTAGCGCCGCTATTTACTGTGATACTGTGTATTAGTCTTATTTATTAATATGTATTTCTGTATTCATTTTATATTTGTGTATTTATGCCCCACATTGTAAAACAAATTTGGCAAGGGATCAATGAAGTGGAATTTATTTATTTATAATATTTGTTTATTTATCCATTTTATTCACTAATAAATGTTGAAGCTTCAGATTATTTGGTATTTGTTGTTTTTTTCTAATTCACACGTATTTAAGAAAATTTACTTATTTGTTTCTATCTAAATGTATGCATTAGCTTGTGTATGTTTGTGTGTATGTATGTTTATGTGTGTATATGTGTCTGCGTGTGTGTGTGTTTGTATGTGCGTGTGTGTATGTGTGTGTGTATGTGTGGTGTGTGTGTATGTGTGTGTGTGTGTGTGTGTGTGTGTGTGTGTGTGTATGTGTATGTGTGTGTATGTGTGTGTATGTATGTGTGTGCATGTGTGGGTGTTTTGACGGAGAGGGGGGGGGGGCGTATATCTTCTAGTGTGTGCGTACTCGTTTGTGGACTGAAACGAAGAAAGTGGGCTTTGAAAAAACCTGTAAGTAACACTATAACAAAACAAAAAATAACGCTGTAACAAAAAACAACAACAAACAAACAAACAAACCCCCCCCAAAAACACATAAACAAAACAAACAAACAAATAAACAAACAAACAAACAAACAAAATTAAAACCCAACCTGGCGCGCGTCTTTTAAGATTCTTTCACAGCTTTCCGACGGATATGGTGCCTAAGGAAACTTTTTTTGTGTGGAAATGTGGCTGTTTTTGCGCCATCATTGACACAATTTAGATAACTTAGGAGACACACTTTGACCCTTCTTGCCAGTGCCAACCCGGGCTGAGAAGGATACAACACCCCAGCACAATGATTGAGATACTCGATAAACATTTCTTCCACTCTTGAATCGAACTCTCGTCTCCTGTGTGCTACAGCGAATTGCGAAATAACAGCTACACTACCGGCGCCAGTCCTTAGGCAACGATAGTTAAAACATTGACAGTGCAGCCCGGCTTTTTTCATCACCCCATCTCGTCAGTACCTGGGAACCTTGGCTTGTTCATCTGTCTATATTACAGGACAAGAAGATGTTGATACTTGAAAAAAAGAAATAACATGGAAAATCCAGTATTATAACTTTTTACAAGGGCTTTCAGAATTCTATTCATAATTAATATGACTCAACGGTACAGCAATACGGTCCAGTAAAAACATTATTATTCTTAGTAGCTCATTTCGGCATAAGGTTTAATCATAGTACTAGGTTCTACGGCAGACGTAAACGTATTTCTTGCTACTACTTTTCTGACGCACCTTCCTGAAGGTAATGATTATTGTATACGTTTAACGTCCCTTTCAACATTTTAAGGTTATTTAAGAGTTAGGACCTCTGAATCTAAAGTCCATCTCCGATAGGATCAATCCAGATCGGTGGATAGCCTTTAAAATGGTCCAAAACAAATCAATTTCAAAGTGTTCCGTTGGGGATTCGAGCCAGGACCAACCTCTTTAAAAAATTAAACATTTGTCTGTCTGCTCGGATGTAGCACCCCTCACAGTCCTAGCGGCATTTACGATAGAAATAACAATAAGGAGCTAGCAAAATGCCTTTTTAAATTTTTGACTTCAAATTTTGTAATTGAAAACCTGATTAGTTAACCTACTTGTGGGAACAAATCAAAGTGAAACTGTTATTTAAATTTAAAAAAAATAGAATTCACATTTCAGAAGAACGCCTTTTTAAAATGATAACAGCAGCAGCAACAACAACAACAACAACAACAACAACAGCAATAGCAGCAGCAGCAGCAGCAGCAACAACAACAACAACAACAGCAGCAGCAGCAACAACAACAATAACAACAGCAATAGCAGCAGCAGCAGCAACAAAAGCAACGGCAACAACAACAATAACATTCATACTCACGTATCACGAGCACAAACACCTTAAAAAATGAAATATGTAATAATCACATTTTGTGGTATGAGTTAAATAAAATACATACAAAAACAAACCACTCGAAGCTTAATTAAACATCTTTTATTAGTGAAACAACCATTGAGAAAATTACAGTAACAGTTCTTGGCACTTGAAGTACAAAGAGACATTACAGTACAAAGTTACCTGAAACCAAATCACAACTTGAGCTAGATGGCAAACAGAAGTTCCCAAATACATTTAATATAAACGTAGGAACTCAAGAATTCAGAAGAGAAAGGGTGTGTACCCTATACCTCATCAAAACGTTTATCCTTCCTCCTACCCCCTCCTTCCCCTCCCCCCACCTCACAACCCTTCCCTCTCTCAAGACTCCCGTACAAGACTTGACTGAGACAGTTCGCAGCATTGAAGTACCTCAGATAATACGCTACCTCAGAACTAACAAAGTTCTACCTGACATTTTTGGCCTTTTTGAGTTACTAAGACAATGAGGTCAGAAAACAAAATGTCCTAATTGCTCTATCAAAATCGGAAGATTATTCGAAGTCATTTTCAATATTTTCAAAGAACTGCATTCGAAAAAGCTTGAAAATATGTTGTGAATTTTTCAACCTCAAATTTCTCAAAACTAGGTACTGAGCAGAAAGAACTTTGTAATTCTAGGGTATGGAACAGAGACAACTGATGTTAACGCAAAGTCCATTTCCCAAAGACTGAACTTGCAACCTTGACGCGGCTAATGTCTATAATAACAAAAAAGCCAACCTTGTTAAAAAAAAAGAACAACATTGCAAAATGGATTTTTCCATCGTCATATTATATTAATATTTCTTCTTAAATACTTGAATGGCATTTGACATAGCAATGATATGCTGTTCATATCGGATGGTGAACATTGTTTAAAAATGTAGTAAAATGATATTATACACAAGAAATAAATTGAAAGATGGACAACAACAGTTTTCTGTACAACTTTGTTATACATAACTTTGCTGAAAAGTATTAACGCCTAAACGGGTGCAAAAATGAATAAGGCACTGAACTAAGATTTATCACACGTGAAAAGACGAGAAATGCTATCGCTACAGAATTTGCAACACGATATTGAGGAGTTTATAATATTGTTGCAAACTCGACAATGGCCATATACTATGGGAGATACAGATTTACGTTGTGAGAAGTAGGACAAAAGCGAGCTTCCAAAGGCCTGTCATTGAATCTGTTATGTTCAAAACAAACAAACAAACAAAACTTAACAAGGAAATTCGGAATGTGTTTCATTTGCGGAGCACGGATATATAGTTGCAGAAACACTAACTTTACTATTGCATGAAACGAAAATAAAAAAACCCCAAAGTAAACTACTCCAAAAATGCAATAACAAACTATTTGACAATAATATAGTAAAACGATAAAATACCATAGGGATGAATTCGGAAAATCTTCATGTTTCATCCTGAAATTTAAGATTAAATTTTTATCAGGGACAATTTGGCTTCTCCACCTCGCCAGAGATACATGGTTTCAGGTGACTTAGACATCTTCGTGACGTGACTTAGACATCTACGTGACGTGAATGGGATATCTCTGTGACGTAACTTAGACATCTCTGGAGCGCACAAAGATCCGCTTGGAGGCGTTGATGTCCTCCAGTTGCTTCGAGCTGAAGCAAAAGATCATCTCCTTCAGGCCCAGCTTGGCTGGCGTGATGGGAAGGGTGGCGACAAAAGTGCTATTAGCGCCAACGCTCCTGGAAAACGTGTGGAAAACGACAAAACGTTGAATTTTAGTTTGGAAGCAATCGTCAAAGCAACACCACCACCAACAACAGCAACAACAACAATAACAACAACAACGACATGGGACAATAACAGTAACAGAAGCAACAACAGCAATAACAATAGCAATAACAACAACAGACGCAGCAACAACAATAACAACAACAACAACAACAACTGCAACAATATCAACAATAACAACAACAAAACCAACTGCTCAATATCAACAATAACAACAACAACAACAACAACAACAACAACAACAACAGCAACAGCAACAACAAGACAAACACCACCACTACCACCACCACCACCAACAAAAAACAATAACAACAAGAGCAGCAACAACAACAACAACAACAACAACAACAACAACAACAACAACGGCTAAAGGATCTCAGAAAATCTCCACAAGGCCAGAGACTCCATAAACCTTCGACTCACCCTTGTGGGAAGCGCAGAGATCTGGCGAGACCATCGACTGTAACCTGGCACTCAGTTAGAGTTGTGTCCAGAGGGTTTGTGAAGGAAATTTCCACTTTGAATTCTTTGCCCTTGACAGCTTCTTTTGGTGCCTGGGGAACGACAATTCGGAGAAGTCATTAGCGACTTGATGTGGAGAGGAGAGAATCGTCGTCTTCGTCATCATCATCATCGTCATCGTCATCGTCATCATCATCATCATCATCATCATCATCATCATCATCATCATCATCATCATCATCACCATTGATCATTGTTTGTGTGTGTATGTATGTATGTATGTATGTATATATATACACGCACGCACACACGCACACACGCACACACACACACACACACACAAACACGCACACACACGTATTCACACACGCATACATACACATACATACACACACACTCACATTCACTCACACTCACATTCACTCACACAAACACACACACACACACACACACACACACACACACATA